ATGCGCATAAGCCCTCGGGTTCCAGCGCCCCTGACATGCATTATTGAATAACATCAACAGTTCTTTTTTTTTTTTTTTCTGAAGAGGCCTGCTAAGATAAAATTTGCACTGAGTTTCAGTTGTGAAATAGAAGGCGTAGCAGCTCTAAATTTTCGTTGCAATTATTTTTGAAAGACAATGTGTCTGAATTATAAAGTGCTTAACAAAAATTAAATTCAGATAAACAAACAATACAAAAAAGCCGCATGAAACATTGATCAAAAGGCGCTGCAAGGAAACAAGGGCGGAAGGAGACGCAGAAGACTGAGTTTTAATTGGCATTAAAAGAGATTTGTATGTGAAAACTTAGGTAAGTAAATAACATAGGGCTAATAACAAATACACTGAAAGAAACAAGCAACATCGTTTGGTATTTTCCGCTCAAGTTATTGAAAAAATCGTAAGCAATTTGATACTCTTATAGTGCATTTTTTGACACATAAAGAAGGTTTTCACATATCCTGGATGTTGATCTGTCAAGTTCGTGAGTAGTGCGCAATGTAACGTGTACTGTAAACACATTTGTAATCATTACCGGTAATTAGGATTTCTTTTGGGTTGACGTGTACATATTTCCAACTTGCTGATGGAGGTATTAAAAAAAAACCTTAACATTTGATCCTAAATAAATATCATCATCACTTTCCATTTCTGCCGTTAAGCTTTGTGGGGAGGAAGATTTTGCGATCCATTGCTTGATGGGCAGCATTGGCTATTGTCATTCGGTGTCGATGTAAAAGTTCTTTAATGGCATCAATCCATGATCTCCCACAGCGGCCTCTTTATTTCACTTCAGATCTTTTTATGTGTAGCACCTGTTGGTACTTGTCCTGGCTGCATCCTTACTAAATGATTAAACAATTGTATCTGTTTCTCAATTAATTTTGCTGCATGGTGTAGTTTCTACCGTCTGTCTGATAATATCATTTCTAACTTTGTCTCGAATGGTTGAGTTGGCGGCTTTTCTCAGGCATCTCATTTCGCAGGTGTTAGTGTTACATAATTAACCCTTGCTAATGTCCAAGTCTGGCACTGGTAGCACGGATTTGGTATAAATATGCTGTTTATCATCTGTTTCCTGGCGCTCATACTTATGTTTGGAAATCTTAATAACGGTGTCCACTGGTACATAAGTGTACTGGCTCGTTGGTATCTTGTTTCTAATTATTGATCTATTCTTCTGTCTTCCGAGAATATACTTCCTAGACATTTAAATTGTGTAACTTGCTTCAGACACGTACCATTCAACCCGATATATAGCGGACTAGGAATTATGCTGACCTGTATTACTGTGTAACTCCAGTGTGATATTAAAATACTATTAATAATAACTGTTCCTAGTTTGCTTATTATAGCATTTCTGAGAAAGAAACAGAAAAGTTATAATATTGCGAAACTTTAATTGTCAAATGAAAAACGGTTAAATTTCCTTTTCTGCGCTAATTGTATACATTTTGCTGCAGTGAAGTAACAGCAACTCTCGTGCAATCCTGCAGCCAATCATTGCTAAATACGCTCCCTTAGTTTGTCTTAACGACATTTTTGTGTGTGAAAAGCTTCACAAGCAAAAGTTGAACTAAATATGGTGATTATGATAGCTGCAACACTCTAGCATTCCGGAACTGCTCCACTTAATCCTTTCGGACCAAAACGTGACAGTACTTCCATGAAAATCTTCACACAGTGCACTGGAGCGTTGGATGTCCACAAGTTCTAACAGTAGATAAACTTCATCGTCCGATGATAGTAATTTCTTAGCTTTTAAAGAAAACCAATTGCAGGAGGAATTTTAACAAGACTGACAAGAAATAACATTATCTGCTACTTTTGTTCGTACGTCCTAGTGACGTAAAAGCGTTTGCCAGTTTACAGCAGAGTTGCGATATTGTCGTCTTTCGACCGACACATCCGACTTTATTAAACACTTGTTTTGCATGACTAATGTCGAACGCAGAAGAAGAAGAAGAAGAAGAAGAAGAAGAAGAAGAAGAAGAAGAAGAAGAAGAAGAAGAAGAAGAAGAAGAAGAAGAGAAGAAGAAGTTGTTTACCTAGTTAACTTCCCGGATAGTTTCGTGGCCTTATTTGTGTGTTCACTGTGTTCCTTAGTCTACAAGTGTGGCTCCTGGTGACACTGTCCAAGGCTTTCTGGTGAAGTCAGGTCGGCCTTCAATCCGCCCATTCGTTTATCAACACACACAAATACACACACAGATATACCACGTCCAACCTACTAAGAGCAGTTTCGGCTATAACTGTGGTCTTCTTTGTTCTAAGTATATTGGCTAAGCAGTGTTAATTGTTAGTCGCAACGAAACTAGTGGTTTGGACAGGTACTGTAGAATCACGTCCGGCTACATACTTATATATGCATATAAAAATCTGGAGCTGGCCGTGTGTAGAATCTAGTGTGGGTCGTTTGGGGGTGGGGGGGGGAGGGGGGGACTGGTGTGTAGGTTTGTCAGCGCTCTCCCACGCTATTGAACTCTAGAGCTGATTGAATATTGTTGAGGGTGATGTTGCGGGGGGAGGGGGAGGGGGCTGTTGGGCACTAGAATAAGAACTCCCATACGGCTGTTCGGTCGCAGAAGTGCGTCTGACAATCTATGTCTTGTCGTTACCGACATTCACGAAAATTTGATTATTGTCGGAGTACCTAAGTAAAAAACCAATTAATTTTTCACACACAATAATACAAACCAACAGAATAATTGTACAACCATAAAGACCTAGTTATGTCAAGCTTGTCTATATGTATGAAAAAAAATTTTTTTTTTAATGCTTGGAAAGGGAAGAGTCGGGAGGATTAACCTGTCTGAAGATTTATACAAAATATGCTGACTGATTTTGAAAACAAAAAACATTATATTTTCTTCAAAATTTACTTGATTTCACCGTTATACTGTTTTTCTTCTTCTTCTTCTTCTTCTTCTTCTTCTTCTTCTTCTTCTTCTTCTTCTTCTTCTTCTTCTTCTTCTCTTCTTCTTCTTCGTTTCTTCTTCTTTCTTCTTCTTCTTCTTCTTCTTCTTCTTCTCTTTTCTTCTTCTTCTTCTTCTTCTTCTTCTTCTTTCTTCTTCTTCTTCTTCTTCTTCTTCTTTCTTCTTCTTCTTCTTCTTCTTCTTCTTCTTCTTCTTCTTCTTCTTCTTCTTCTCTTCTTCTTCTTCTTCTTCTTCTTCTTCTTCTTCTTCTTCTTCTTCTTCTTCTTCTTCTTCTTCTTCTTCTTCTTCTTCTTCTTCTTCTTCTTCTTCGCGTTCAGCGGAGGTAAACTCCGTCTGAAAGTTCTGATTGTTCTCCCACATCTGGGCTGCAGTCCTGTCCCAGAACCTGAGTGTTGCGTGTGTATCCGTTTGACAGATCTGACTAATTTGTGTGCAGACTTTTGGTTCCTTGCCTCTTAGGCAGATGCACTCCGACTTCAAAGGAAGCTTCCAATTAGTCGACTCTTAAGAGATGCTTTTGGGTAGGCAGTGGGTATATGATCCGCGTGACATTTTTTTAAACGTTTCTGCTAGCCGGATTCAGCGCCCGGGCCTACAGTTGAATAACCTTGTACTAGATGCCGGACGAAAAATTATAAAGTAAAATAGTGACTGACACTGCAACCACTACCAATCTAGGGAAAATAAAATCAACGCAAAATGATTGCAGCTAAACAACAGTACTGTAGTGGAAACCAAAGAAGATTGACAAACCAATGCCGAACCACTGTTGTCTGCCTCTGTACGTAGAGAAATGCTGGGCAGGGAAATGTGGGGGCTGATACCATTGTCTGATGTGCAGTGAAGATAACATGTCTGGTAACTCCATTTGACAAGGACAACTCCCAGGGGACAGGAACAGGGGATGAGGTAAACCACGACCGACTGCAGCTGACGGGCCGTGCTGCTGGCGTTACCGGGTCAGGCTAACGATGGGTTAATGCAGCAGTTCTCAAACAAGAAATAAACTTTTTTCGATAGTGGCGGGGAAAGACAACTTAAATTTTAACTAAATAGAGAAGGCCGTGGGGAAACCCTAAGAAAACCTGGAGACGGACAGTTGAACTGGAAATAAGGGAGCGCACTGTCAAGAAATACCATGGACAGAAACGCTGCAGACGAGCAGCAGTGGAGATCACTTATGAATGCCTTATGTGTCAACAGCGACAGGAAGAGAATACAGACAGATAGAAAGACAGAACGAACCAACCAACGAAATTTAATTTTAAAGGGTCATTTTCTTTCGGCTCTTCCAAACACTCAGTCTTTCACACAGCAGTGTATTTTATCAATAAAACGATTCAAGTTTATATCATAATATGCATGTTTTAAATATTAAGAAAAAACTCAAAAGCATGGGTGGCACAATGCATGCTCACACTCGCGCGCGTGTACACACACCCACATACACATGCCCACCTAATCACATACATACATGACACACATAACAGTTATACTCATAAACACAAAAACTTATATATATATATATATATATATATATATATATATATATATATATATATATAAATACATATAAATATATATATATATATATATATATACATATATGAATGTATGCATACAGACATATACGCAAACACAGACACAGACAAACACACGTAGACACACACAGACAGACAGCAGATAAAATATACATACAGACAGAAACGAGACCCTGGGGAAATCTGGATTTTTTTTTTTTTATATCCTTATGTGTTAGTGGTAAATGTTTCATTTCGTAACTATAAATCTGGAACATTTTAACAATCTGGGTGTTGTTGTTGTTCATTGTCTATGTATTGCTTGGGTTTTTGTTCAGCTAAGCAGGGTTTAAAAAAAAAATCCCATTGTGGCATACTTTTGCGGTTATCGAACTTGGAGCCCGGTTGACTTTTTCAAAATGGCGGCTTCTACGAACTTTGAATTGCAATAAGTGATATGGAATTTGCAACTGCCTGAATACTGTGTAGAATCTACTTATACGCCATGGCAAGCAAGGGAAAACAAGGTACACTCAAAGTTGCATTCCTGTAACTGTTAGGTTATGTAATTGTAATCTCATTTGTTGATTGCTTTCATGCTATTGTTATTGTTTTTCATATCAAATTCAAAACAATCTTGTCTCAGTTTTCCCCCTTTGTCACTTGTGAAGTTTCCGAATATTTTAATTTTTAGTATTGTAATAATGTGCTTTAAAAAAAAAAAAGTTTTACACAATGAAGACACACGCAAACTTTATTAACTGACATATTTCTCGACTGCTGTATACACTGTGGAAGGAAATAGTAGAATTTATTTACATTTACTTTGAACACTGAAAATAAATCAAAGCCTTTCATCCTTCAAGTTCAACTGGAAAACCCAAATCACATAATATAATAACTGGCTATCCTCCGAATAACGAACCCAAATTATAGAGGCCAAAAATATACCCAAACAGTGCCTCAGTCACATGTAAATTGCCAACCTCTTTCTGGCGTCTACACAGCATACCGCCGAAAAGCTCCTGCTGAGTTAAAGTCACTGTCGAGAGTATCTCCCACGCCGCTATGCGCAAGGCTACACTAGATGGCTGGGACTCACGAGCAGCAGCTACTGCATTTCATGCAGCTTCCTCCATTTTATTTGCTCTTGAGTCCCAGCCATCTAATTTAGCCCCACTCCATGCTGCGGGTAGCGGCTCGGGAGATACTCTTGGCGGTGGTGGTATAGTCACCGGAAAGAGGTGCACTATTTACATGTAATTGAGGCCCTCAGGGTATATTTTCATCCTTGATATTTTGGGACTGTTATTCGGAGGATAGCCTAATAATTACTTATTAACCTTCACAGCTGGATAGAGATTAAAATATAAAATCCAATGATTGATACCTCAAGCCTGTAGTTAGGTCAACTCCAAATGGAGATATTGACAGTTTTGGATACCACCATAGACTGAAAAATTAAATTATAGTCTAATGTGACAGAATATGGATTACAAGCTGTGTCTGTAAAATGTCAGGTTGAAATGACTAAATGTTTGTGTTTTATGGCGATAACTATTTTGTTATTTAACGAATCCCTTAGAAACTATAATCATTGTAATCGGGGCAGAGAAGCTTAACTATGCATTTCTTAAACTTAAATACACATGGTACAATATGGGCCTTTACAAATGTCTGCCAGCTCACTATTTTTAAGTAAACACAGTATATATTTTGGTTGTTTGCTAACAAGTCTGGCAACATGTATACCGTATTGTGTGGAGTGATGAGGTGGACATACAGATCACACAGAAATACCAACATTAGGTGACTTTATCTAATTAACATAAAAAATGGCAGCCAGCTCAAGGGTGAAATAATCAGAGGGTTGCTGTGGTAAAATGTCTCAAAAAGATAGTAGTCAACTTTAAATGACAGTTGCATTAAAAAAATGCTACTATGTTGCATATTTAAAAAAATAATAACTAAAATAACATAAAATGAAGCACAAAACTGAATAAAACCAACTAAAATGCGAATAGTTTCATCGTATGTGTTATTTGGCTGCCAGAAGCTCACTGTAGTCACGTGACTTACCAGAATAACTTCAAATTTACTTCGCATTTAAGTTGGATTTATTCAGTTTTGTGCTTCATTTTATGTTATTGTAACTATGTAGTAACTAGGGATGTACCGAATATTTGCTTTAGGGCCGAATAGTAGACTTAAAAACTATTCAGTATTCGGCCGAATACTTGCTTGCGGTCGGGCAAATATGAATAGTGGTTACCTCACACCCGTTTTGCATACACTGCTATAGACTGAAATAACTCTCTCATTAACGCAGTAGTTGCTGTTGCCCAAGTCTGTCGTGGCAAGGAAAACTGTGACCTGGTTGAGTGGTACAGCAGCTGGCAAAGTCTTTGCCTGCTGACTTGAACGAGGCATTACAGCAGAGGTTCTCAAACTGAGTGCGTATGCCAGGGGTGTGCAGGCGAAAATCAAGAAAAGTCGGCTATAAATTGTGACATTATTAAAGAAGGCATGAATATACTTAAAAGTTAAAATTTAAATTGTCTTTCCTCGCCACTGTCAAAAATAAGTTTTTGTCCTTGTTTCACACTCAAAGTGTATCATACTGCATAAAATGCCAACCGCAGCGTGCTAGAAATTGTCTTTGTATTTATCTCGAGGTGCGACCGATCCTACATCTGTATTCGTGAAGGTGCAGTGGATAAGTAAGGTTGTGATTGCATATGGGGAGAAATTTTAAAGTGGAAAATGTGGTCTGTACAATATTCACTGTTAGCCTCGTCAAGTAAGCACTTAAATTTAAAGGCAATGTGTTGTGAGTCCTGGACAATCGGTAGGCAGGCCAACCAATTTTTTTAGGCCTCAGAGATGTGATTTTACAGAACAATGTTTAAAATACTTTAGACAGCCAAAAAAAGCAACCAAGAGGTTTTGAGAGAGGCGGGAGCCCGAAGACAACTTATCACAGACATCAGAGGGAGACAGTCATCATTTTTCAGCCATGTTATCAGAAGAGGGTAAATGGAGCATGTGGTGACCACTGGAAAGATCTGTGGAAGGAGGGATAGATGAAGACAACGATAAAAGAGTCTTGACAGTCTTGTTGCATGGCATGGAGGTGTGTCAGCAGATGAATTAATACATTCTGCAGGAGATCGCAGATTGTGGCCAGGCATATTCGCCCACGCCAGTCAGCAAGGCACCTGATGATGATGACACACTATTCGTGTTCGACCGAATAGTTAGTCCGGCTATTCGTATTCGGCCGAATAGTGGAAATCCCTATTTGGTACAGCCCTAGTAGTAACGCACCTGACGAGATACAGCGAAAAATACCTGCCAATAAATTAAGCAATGTATTGTTTGTGTCTGCATTATTTAAATTCAGTACGGGAAAATATTGTTTTGAACTATTTAAAACTCCTGTAACCAGCACTTTAGTAAGCTTTTAACTTTATTACCAAATGCAGCCATCTTCTTCTCTTTCACCTTGTACCTCATGATTGGTGATTAGGCAAGTAGAAATATCTGCAAACATAAAGTAATGACAGATGAAAAAATTATAACATATAAAACAGCTGTATTTCTGTACTTAAGTATAAATTTTAACTTAGTTACTGGCCATTCTTAGACATGTTGGCTTTGATAGTTGAAATTCATATCCAGATTTTTGTCTTATCAGGTTTAAAAAAAAATTTATTAAACAGACAGTCCTGTTAACAGAAAATATTGAAGGTTGCCTGGAAAAAAAAGGGAGTTATAAAATGTTTGTGGATTTCAGAAACGTAAATCAAATATTTTAATTACTAAATTAAGTGTACCTTTATCAGTTAATTAAACTCGTAATACTAGTTTCGAGATTTCAATCTTAGTAAAGTGTACTAAATAAGTTCTCTCAGATTCCATCCCCTAATAACAATACATAACGCTTATGAGGTCCTATTTGCCTAGTCATTATTGATGTGTTTTAGTGCACATCTGCATGTGACACTGGGATCAAACCCAATACCACACAATTTCAAAGTGTGTTTGCAGTGCCCACAGATGCCGATCTTTTCCACGCCTTCAGGCATATAGGGCTAGCTAGACCTATATTTTATAGACCCAATCAGCACTCACTGGGTTATGCAATCCACATCACACCGACCACCTTTACTTCCCAAGACTGTTTTTGGTATGCGTTTAAGGCTGGGTCGACCTGGGAGCCTAGGTCGTTTTTGTATTTGATTAGAGTGTACTTTTTCACTCTTTGTATAGATAATGTTAAGAGTAAGCATTACTTTCTTGAAAACAAAGCTAAAATTGTATGGACTTTATATAATTCTGTGTGTATTTTCAGCTGAAGTTACATCAGCCAGAATCCGTTTGGATGCAACACTTCAACATTTGGTTGACAGACGAGAGGACAGGTTACTTAACTTTTCGTGTCATCTGTTTTCTGCCAATGTGTTTAAGCTGACAATGAAAATGATGTTATTTTTGGTCAAGTTTTGTTTGTTTGTTTGGTATATGGATTTGGACATGATGTTATTGTTAGCTTACCTTTTGTGATTGTATTTATGAGATTATATTTTTAAATAATTCTAAGCATCTGTGGCAAACATTTTTTTTGTAATTCCGAAGTCCCCGGTTCAATTCCAGTACAGTGTTGATCTGATAGTATCAACAGTGTTAATGTGGTTATAACCAACAGTGTTATCCTGGTAGTACCAACTGTGTAACCCGACTATACCAGCAGTGTAAACTGACTACCAACAATGTTAACCTGATAGTATCAACAATGTAAACCTGACTGTACCAGCAATGTTAACCTGACTATACCAGCAGTGTAACCTGACTACCCACTATGTTAACCTGATAGTATCAACAATGTTAACCTGACTGTACCAACAGTGTTAACCTGACTGTACCAGCAATGTTAACCTGACTATACCAGCAGTGTAACCTGACTACCCGCTATGTTAACCTGATAGTATCAACAATGTTAACCTGACTGTACCAACAGTGTTAACCTGACTGTACCAGCAATGTTAACCAGAAAACACATCTCTGTTGCTTCCAAATTCTCCTTATTTGTTCACTGACCGCTAATACTAGGGATTTTAGTCAAAATTTAAAAATTAGTTTTTTTACTTTTAAACCAAGACAGCTGAATAGAGGTTGAAAACCCGAGTCCAACGGTACCTCAATGAAGTCTGTATGTCAATTCTAAGCGGAGATATTCACATTTCAGTGCCGGAAAGTTGCCCAAAAAATTTATAATGGAAAACACAGAAACAAGATGGCGGCATGTTCCCAAGTGAAAACTTGACCTCAATTTATCATGTTTAATGTCAATAGCTCTCAAGTTTTTGGCTGAACCCCTTAGCAACCATATGTCATTGCTTTCAGGACAGCAGGCTCTGACTAAAGTTGTTGCCTTTAAAAAAAAATGATGTGATGCAAACCGAAATAACATAAAAATGAGTCAGTTTATCAGGATTAATAACCTTATTTATGAATTAAATTAATGATTATTATCCAGTGAGTCTTCCAAGACATATACTGTAATATGCATACTTTTGTAACTATTCTTCTTGTTATGATGCATCTCTTCCTATTTGTTTAAAAATGCTTTTTCTCACACTCTCAATTGTGTGTGTAGTGTGTATACATCTGACCGAAATTTGCTCTATTCCACTGTTAAAAAATGTTCAATAGCGAGTGGATTGACTTCACTGCATCGTTACTGGTTTCATATGGCTTGGTCTTTCTTCACATAACCATGAACGACTAGCCGCATGCCGAGACCTTAGCAGTAAGCCTGAATACCGTAGCTCCAGCAACAGCCTCCAGGGGTCCCTGTTAACCCAAACAAAATGTATTTTTGAGACGAACAAAGCAGTTGTAAAATAAACTCACCGCAACCTTCTGAGCACGAGGTTAATGGCTTGACCACTTTTCTACAGAGACCCCCAATATTGTTTGATAACCAAGTGAAAATATGCACCCTTTTTACTGATTTAACATAATCCCTTCTTCAGTCTTTACTCTTTGCGAGTTATTCTTTAATTTTATTGATGATGAGCGCATTTTACCAGTGTCCCCCACTTCTTCTTAACTAACACTGCTGGATATTTTATTTACTAGTTCAAAATAATCTAAGGTAACTGCTCATACCTGATTTGTGATTCAGTGCTATGTTTTCATGGAGTAAAATTATTAAATAAGCTCTTTTGTGATTCGCTTTGGATTTATGTTGTGTTTTCATGGAGCAGCATTTCATAAGGTAAGAGGAAAAAGAACATTATATATATTATATTAATGTATCTATGTCCCATGTGATCTGTTTGCTGGCTAGTATATATATTAGTATATATAGAAAATAATTATTGTTGTTGTTGTTATCGATCCAGCGGCGCATGAGCTTTCGCCCTTTGGCCCAATGCCATGTAGTGGAATTTGCATGTTTTCACAAGCTGTTCTTTTCCTCCGTACAAGGTGTTCCACTTGTCTGGTCTCGGAGGGAGTAGCGTTCTTCTTGTCTCACTGAGTTTTGGGCACTCAAAGAGATGGTGTTCAACAGTTTCGTAGGGGTAGTTACATAGCTGGCACTCTGGGGAGTGTTGTGGCTGTATTCTGTTTAGGTGTCCATTGAGTGGAGTATGTTGCGTTCTAAGTCTGAAGATGGTGGCCTGGTCCCTTCTTGTTAGATGGTTAATGCTGTCATTAGGATCAGGGCCAGACATATGTCTATAAACCTCTCTTCCAGTGTCTCCCATGGCCCATCTGTTCAACCAAGTCTCTTTGTTTATAGCTCTTATCAGTGTTTTTTGCTGTCTGGAGGGTTGTCGCTGTAGTGGTTGTTCTTGTGTTGCTCCTTTCTTTGCCAATCTGTCAGCTCTGTCATTACCTGGTGTGCCGGAGTGACCTGGAATCCACTGCATCACTATTCTGATGTTGTATGAGGTAATAAGCTGATCGGCATCCAGGATTATCTTGGCTATGTCAGTTCTGCAGCGTTCATTGCCCTCCAGAGCTTGAAGGGCAGACATTGAATCTGTGAAGATGACAATATTTTGGACCTTTGAGGGGTAAACATCCATTACAGTCTTTAGGTGGTATACTGCTGTTTCCAGTGCAATTATTTCAGCTTCATAGTTTGAACAGAATTCCCCGCATGCATCAAAAATCTCTTCAACAGATCCATCGGGATAACCTATGTAGATTCCGTAACCTGCTTTAATGGTAGCTTTAAATGCTGATCCATCAGTATAGACATGTATCCATTCTTGGGGGTAAGAATCAACGGTCTCTAGTGATGAGTTCATAAGAGCGATTGGGTCGGACTGTTTGGTTTCCTCGCCTACCAATTTAGTTTGGACTTCTGGAGCTTTAAAGCGAGCATGTGGTGGTAGGTTTTTTGCAACATTCTGAATTCCTTGACGTCTTTCTGGGAGGTGGTATCTGTCCTGAATTTCATTAACACAGTGTAAAACCGATTTGTGCTTTATTCTTTGTTTGGATTCCCAGTTTTCTACAAGATGTCTATTAGGATGGTTACGATTTTTCCTAACGCATCTTTCATAAATTTCTAAAGTGGCTTTTTCTCTCCGCAACCCGAGGGGTTCCACATTTGTATGGATTTCACATGCAGCAGTTGGTGTAGACTGCATAGCTCCGCAGATTAATCGGAGGGCATTATTTTGTACTCTGTCAAGAGTCTCTAGGTTAGTTTTGGAACAAGTTGTAAGCAGTGAGTTGTTGTACTCTATCACAGAGCGAACATATCCTAGGTATAAGCCCCTCAGAGTTTCCTTGTCTGATCCCCATGATGTACCTGCAAGTCTCTTTAATAACTGTAACCGCCTCAATGCCTTATTCCTGATGTTTTCAATATGGTTCTTGAGGCTGAGCTGCGGGTCAAGTGTGACTCCAAGGTATGTGGGATGCTCTTCTTTCATCACTTGGTGTTTGTCTAACCTCAGGTTAATATTCTTCCTTGCTACTTGGTGGCTTTTGGTAAAGATTGTGTAGACCGTCTTTGCACAGTTAATCTTGAGTTTCCATCTTTGGCAGTAATCATGCAGTCTTCTAAGGTCTCCATTCAGTCTTTGGGCTCCACTTTCCACATTTTCATGACTCTGCCATATTGCTAGGTCATCAGCGTACAAGGCTTTTTTCGGCCTTGATTTGTTCTGGCAGGTCATTGATAAAGATTAGGAATAGTGTACAGCTCAATGATGAGCCTTGTGGCAAGCCCTCCTCCAAGACTTCTTTAGAAGAGATTGCGTTGTGCATCTTAGTCTGGATTGTTCTATCTATCAGGAAGTATTTCACCCAGTTATACAATCTGCCATGTATTCCTATGCTCATCATCTTCATCAGGAGACCTTTTCTCCATACTCTGTCATAGGCCTGCTGGAGGTCGACAAAGACTGCCACTGTGTGTTTCTTATTCTGGAAGCCAACATGTATTCTTTGTGTCAGTCTGAACAGCTGGTCTTCTGTGCAGCTGTTGGTTCTGAAGCCTGCCTGTTCATGGCATAGAACACCAGAACTCTCAAGGAACCAATATAAGCGCCTGTTTATCATTCTTTCTGCAACTTTGCCCAAGCATGATGTTAAGGATATCGGGCGGTAGCTTTTGGGGTCATCTGGAGGCTTTTTGGTTTTAAGGATGGGGACGATATATGCATTCCTCCATGCCCTTGGTAGTTTGCTTGACCTCCAAGTTTTATTAATAAGCCTGAGAACTACTTCTCTCCCAGACCGGCCAAGATGTAGCAGCATTTCGTTGTGGATCTTATCTGGGCCTGGAGATTTTCTAGGTTTTAATTTCTTCAGGGCTTGCTCTAATTCATCCATGCTAAATTCATTTTCAAAAAGGGAGTCGCTGGCTGTTGGAGCTCTCTCTTGTTTCTTCAACTGAGAGAGCTGTGTTCTATTGAGTTCTGACAGCTTACCTGCTCTGTTAACTGAGGCAAAATAATGATTGAAATGTTCTGCTTTCTTCTTGTCTTCAGTGATTGTCTTACTCCCATCTGTCACTGGTTTTGGGTTCACCCTTCTACTTTCTCCGGAGAGGTTTTTAACTAAAGTCCATGCTTTATTTCCATTCTGTCTAAGGTCTAAGTTGGAGCAAGTTTCTGTCCATTTATCTCTTTTAGCCTTATTAACTACAAGCTTTACTCTGGCACATGCTTTATTGTATTGGATCTTTGCTTCTGTTGAACGTGCAGTTTCGAGAAATATTCTTGCTTTATTCCTTTGAGATATAGTATTTTGAATTTCTTGATTCCAAAAAGGTTTATATGCCTTCCGGCTGCCCCTTGGGATGGCTTTCGACGCTGCATTCAGGATTGCTTGTGTTATGTCTTCACAAAAAGTTTCCACACAGCTGTTGTCAATTCTTCCCAGGAGGCAGTCAGATGTTTCCTGAAATAGTTTCCAGTTTGCTTTTCGGAAATTCCAACGGGTTCTCTGCTTGAAGCGTAATTTAGGGGTGGTGCTTACAGTTGTGAGTATAGGTTTGTGGTCACTTCCTATGTCGTCCAGGACTTGGGGATAGCTTGCGTCTGCTAAGTCGGATGAGCAGATGGTCAGGTCTGGTCTGCTGAGAGATAGGTGGGCCCTGTGTAACAGTGTAGGTGTAGACTCTGTGTCCTGCAGCACTAATAGGTTAGTTGTTTCACAAGTATCTTCGATGTACTTCCCTGTGCTATTGTAGTCAGGGTAACCCCAACGTGGCGAGTGTCCGTTGAAGTCACCAACAAGAAGGGTTTTATGGTACTGTGTCTTGTATAGTTCTGGTATGTTGCATGTTGTCTGAGGTGGGCTGTACACGTTGTATATCGTGTATTTGCTTCCATTGTGCCAGATAGTTATTTTTTGCACATCTGTAGGGTGAGATGTCGACAGCATTGTTACATCTCCTTGTATGTCATTTCTGATATAGGTCACTATGCCCCGGCAGTCATTGCACTTACAGGCATAACTAGTATATCCAGTGAGATGCAGATCAGAGTCTTTATGCAGGGTTTCTTGTAGGGCAGCCACGTGTACCCTGTGGTTGTTTAGCAGTTTGGCAAGTTCAAGTTTCTTATTTCTTATTCCACAGATGTTCAGCTGCAGAATATTGAGCATCTGTGTATTTTTTGCTGTGCTGTCTGAGTTCTTTTTGCTCTCCCTCCCACTCTTCCTCCTCCTGGGGTGTCTGTTTTCCCTATTTATTTCAAATTTTCCAGTAGCCAATTTTTCGCACATGACAGCCTGGTTTCCCACTGTCTGGCGCGGGCCTTGATAGACGAGGCGACGACCGATCTCGTATGTATTCTTAAATTTTGACATATTCATGGCATTGTGGTGCTGGGGTGTCTGTGGATTACCTACCTCCCCGGGCAGCAGCTAGAAATGCCCTGTACCAGTTCTAAAGGAAATATGGGTTGTGTTTCTGCCTTTCCCTTTAACACGTAGCTAAGGTGGGGCTCACAGTGTGCTCATTCCCCGCCACCAGATTGCCTGCAGGTTTCGCTGAGCTCTTCATGTCTCTAAGCATGGCCTAAGCATGAGTAGTTGGGGCAACTGGATCGTCACGTCCTGAGTCCCTGTGCCTTCACGATAGTTTCCGGTATTCAGGGAGGTTAGCATACTTGTTTCCATTCCTAAGACTGTTCAGCACACCTCTGGCTCCTTCCCTCCCACAGGGGGCAGTACGGTGTGGTGCACCGGGTTTATTATCGAGGTTTGCTCCTCTAGATCCATTGTGTTTTGCCTGGGGATTCGCACCCCCAGTTACCGGGACTACCTCGGGGAGGCTGTGACTCTTGGCCACGCACAATGGTCTTGAGGTAAGAGAGGTTTTGCTAGGTCAAGAGGCTGACACCACAATGGACGCTCCTTTCGTGAACAGATATTCACTAGACCTAGGGTGAAGTAAGGGGGGGAACCCACTACCCACAACACTTCTTACCCCCTGCCTCTCGAGGCTCAGTCCCAAAATAATTATTAAATATTAATAATCATAAGTTGTAACTAGCCCTGGCTGTAAGTAAGTAAACTTATGCACAGTTAAACAAATTATAATTTATTATTAATTTTATTAATCGTCAACTTTCTAAATAAGCATCTATAAGTCAATACTAATACTATAATTTTAAAACTAATAGTATCAGTCATAAATAGTAACTGTTATTCATACTATCTAAGACAATAAAAATGCACCACAAAATCAGTGCAGAAATGTGTGGCAGACATTTTTAAAAATGTCAGTCTAGGTGCGGGGAGTAGGGTCAACAGGTAAAAAGGCTTTAAACAGAAACTATTATTCATGCCAAATGATAGGTTATGGCTAAAAAAATGCTATAATGGCTACAGATTTGAAAAATGATTAAATAACTACTTTATATTTATTTAAAAGTATTATAAAAAATGTTTAAACCACTGTCTGCGTCCAAAATGTCAGTCTGGGTGCGGGGAGTGGGGGGTCAACAGGTAAAAAGGCTTCAAACAGGAACTATTATTCATGCCAAATGATAGGTTATGGCTTAAAAAATGCTATAATGGCTAAAGATTCAAAAAATGATTAAAAAACTACTTTATATTTATTTAAAACTATTATTATAAAATGTTTAAACCACTGTCTGTGTCCATTTTTAACGCAAAATACCCTAGAAAATAGTCTATGTTAAAAACGTGATAAAACATTATTTTCAAGTATTTAAAATTATTAAAACTCATGTGAAATTAAAGTTAAAGAAAGGTAAATTATAAATACGATAAAAACTTGCCTTATTTTTGAACTGTTTTAATAAATAACTAGATTAATTAATCTGAGATGAACAGTTCGTTTAGGCCATGCGGTAGCCATTTTGAAAAATCGTCGATTTAGCTGTCAAGAAGTGACCGGGAAGAAATTTAAATTTTATATTCTATGATGTACAGATTCCAGCAAAACTACCCATATTTATGTAAAAATGGACACAGAATCCAAAAATGTCAACTAAAAGTATTTAAATTAACTTTAAAAAGGAAAGAAAGAAATTTAATTCCCACATAGCAAATAGTGAAATTTATTCGGCTGAACAAAGATCGCTATGTAAGTTAGGTGTCGATTGGTAGAGCGGCCTCTTCTGAATAACTTTGAGCCCACGTATTCGATTCAGAACAGCCAATATTGAGCGACAGGATTTCAAAGTAACCGATACGCAAAGAAGCCATTTTTTGTGGACCACCGACTCCATCTTGTAACTAAGCGATCTCTACTTTCGTTTTAAAATAGGTCACGTGAATCATCGTAATTGCTACTAATACCAGCAAAATTAACTTGATATTGACTTCTTGCTTACAGCCAGGATGCCAGCGAGGGCGAGAGCAGTGCCCCACAAACAGAATCCGCAAGGTGAGCTCATATGTGTGATTTGTCATTATCAATTTGAATCTTAAAAGTGAACAGTGATTAAACAGTAAACAGTAAACTCAGACTTATTTTTTAGCTGGGAGCACATCACAAATAACTAAAGTGGAATGATTATCAGTTGTCATTGTTCATATTTTCATGTTATTTTTTAAATGTACCCTTAACTACTTGAATCCATTTCTTTACAGCAGCAAGCCTGTTCTCTCACCCAAGAAGTCTAGTTCAAAACCAAACAGAAAAAGGAAAAGAAGAAATGATTCAAGTGATCTTGATAATGCGGATGAGCAGCGTGAGTATTTATTAAGTGTACTTTATTTACATCCAGTCTGCTAGTTCTGTAAGGTAAGTTATGATTCTATTTGTGCATAATGTAATACTGCAGAGACATACATTAGAATTACGTTTGAAATATATTTACATTTTCTAGAAAAACAGTTGTCAAAGGCTGATGTGACTAGTTCAGTTTTGTTCCTGGCAAAAATTGTGTATTCAGGTCTCCAGACTTTAGCAAAACACAATGATATTAGCTGGATGTTTTTACTTTTCTTTGTATTCCTTGAAGTCTTATTTATTTTCTTTTTATAGCTTTATTTCCGTCAGATTATCATCTTTTGAACATGAATTCAATAATTAATTGATGAACATTTCCCTAATTAAAGTCTTCAAAACCAAGTCTTGTCCCATAGTCACTGAGTTGTTGATAATTTTGTTTATTGAAATTTTGGAAGTAATTGTGTTTGTATGCTTAATAATGTTTGTCTTTACCATTATCTTTATAGTCATTTAAAATTAGTAAATATATCACTCAGTGTTTAATTCATGTCTGAAGATCAGTGGTAGGAAGGACTGAATATAAAACAAGTCAGTTTGGTCCAGAAACTGAACTCTTGGTAAATAAGTTTCTTATTTTCTGTATGTGTGATGTTGACCACATAACCCACAAAGTGCCGATGGTCTATAAATAGGTCTAGCCCTATATGCCTAATACACCTGAAGGCATGGAAAAGGGGTCTTGTTATTTTCACATGTGTTTTTTCTGTGTGTTATTAACAAAGATTTCACAAAACTATAGACGCATTTTATCTCTCCCTCACTAGCCCCACAAGCATAAAACCACTGATCACATCTTTTATGTGTTAAATAGCATTTGCCTTGTGCTCTTCTCGTGCCTGGCAGCTCCAGATTTCATCTGTCTCCACTATTCTGGACAGAGATATGGATTTTTCCTGAGCAGGCAAACTGAGAAGCAGGTACATGTGTACACAGTGGTGGTTTGTGGTTGAGCACTGCAGAACTGCAGCATCCCCGATTGTTATTAAATTTTTTGCCACAAACCACCATAAGGTATATATTTTACCTAACATTTTGAGTACTAGAAGGTTTTACCTGAGATGCCAATATGTATAAATTGTATACATAGTCAGTAGGAACAACCACAAGTTTATTGCTGTCAAAGATGCAAAATATTGGGAACACCAGATTTCTTAGTTCAGCTAATAGACCAAAATGGTTGGGATATATTAAAAGAATGTCAGATGACAGAGACGTAAAAACTGTATACACCAGGGAGATGAATGGTCGTAGACCATGAGGAAGACCAAGAAGACAGTGAAAAGATAATATCCAGACAGACCTGCAAACACTTGGTGTTCCCAACTAGAAAGAGAAGGCTAACCAGAGAGATGAATGGCGGTGGGTGATATCTGCAGCAATGAACCTCAAGGGATTGGAATGCTGAAGAAGAAGAAGATTTCTGAGTATACTGTGATGAGCTGTGAAAGGGACTAGAACATATTACATGCTTAGTGGGATTTATAAAAGTGCTAATCACACACAACACATGTTTTAGGACTGAAGAAGTTAAGATTATGAGAGAATAATTCATTGCACTAAATTAAAAACTTGCTTTGTTGCTGCAGAGACTGTCATTATGAAGCTGTTTGATCGCAGTGTCGACCTGGCATTGTTTCCCGAAGACACTCCACTGTATCCGGTTTGTCGAGCATGGATACAAAATAGACCACATGACCGAAGTTTAGGCACTATCTCAGGAAGGCCACTAACTCCAAAACAAGAGGAAGAGGTTTGTTTGCCTGGCCATAACTGATTGTTCACCTGACTTATTTGATATCTTATTCTGTACTGAGCACTGTGCTATACATTTTTAGACACTCCATTTATCATCTATTCTTAATTCCTCTATCCAAATGTTAAATTGGTTCATGATTTCTGAGCAAGTACTTTGGAATACTCTGATTCCTGTTGCATAAATTTCTTCATCTTTTGTTTCTACTTCTACCTTCTATCCTACACAGTGAGACATAGGCCCCCAACCAACTCATGCCATCGTTCTATCCTTCATTATTGCATGCAGCTTTCCTGGTGTCCTCCACATCTTTTTTACTTCACTCTTTGATTCCCTGTTCATGTGATTTTTGGTCTACCTTTGTTTCTATGCCCCTGTGGGTTCGAGTGCAGAGACATTCTAGTTATATTGTTAATACTGAAGTTTTCTCAACATGTGTCCTATGTGACACCAGCTGTTTTCTTTACCTCTTGGTCCGCTGGGACTTGTTTAGTTTCTCTCCCAGAGCTCAATATTAGTGATTCTATCATGCCATTTAATCCCATCAATTCTGCACAGGCACTAGTTAATGACATTAGAATTAGAAATTTTGGCTCTACTGGCAAATTTGGCCGGTAAGCTGGACTGCTTCGGCCGGCTTAGCGGGGCTTAGTGGGAGTTATGTCCCTTCGCGTCCCTTCGCCAAACTCAAAACAAGTCGCGGAATCAAAGTCACGAATCAAATGACCTACTTACATATCATCATCCGGGTGCGTGTAGGGCTGTGTAGGGTGGCGTCTGGGGTTACCTATCATCATACGGTTGCGCGTAGGGCTGCGTAGGGTGTCTATCATCATCATACGGTTGCGTGTAGGGATGCGTAGGGTGTCTATCATCATCATCATACAGTTGCGTGTAGGGTTGCGTAGGGTTTGGGTTAGCGGTAGGGTTAGGGGTGTGGGTTAGGGGTAGGGTTAGGGTTAGATGATGTGAAAATATTCACGTAGGAGGTGGAAATACTGGCCGACAATCTGATGCTTGTGGGAGTGGCGCCACTGGAAGTGTGACAAATATGACGGCAATAGCGCGCGGCGGCTGGTGCCCCAATCGGTGGCGGCGAATTGTCCGTGTCAGTAGCATCCACTGTCCGTCGACTGTGTGCGCGTGCATGCGACTGTGCGCGATTCTAATGAACTACGGCGTCACAATTGTCACATCTAACGCTACACCTAACCCTAAACCCTAACCCTAAACCCTAACCCTAAACCCTAACCCTAACCCCTAACCCTAAATCCTAGACCCTACACCCTAACTCCTAACCCTAAACCCTAACCCTAACCCCTAAACGCTAACCCTAACCCCTAACCCTACCCCTCATCTATCTTACGCAAACAACCAACCCTACACGCAATAAGCAGCCCTACACGCAACCGTAGGACGATGATAGACACCCTACGCAACCCTACACGCACCCGGATGATGATAGGTAAGTATGCCGTTTGATTCATGACTTTTTCCGTGACCTGTTTTGAGTTGTTTTGAGTTTGGCCAAGGGACATAACTCACACGAAGCCCCGCTAAGCCGGCCGAAGCAGTCCAGCTTACCGGCCAAATTTGCCAGTAGAGCCAAAATTTTAAGTTTAGTACTAGTTTTTTTTTTTTCCCCCTATACAAATGTTCTAGTGCTGTGAAAGCACCTCTTGCCTTTGGTATTCATATTTTAATATCTGTATCAGTTCCTCCATCTTTTTCTATTGCCCCCAAATTTGCTTCTTTGACACAATTATCTCCCCTTCATGCTTCATTTAAGCTGTTTGCCCTACTTTCCTAATGTTGTGGGTTTGGTTCCAAACTTTGTTCTTCACTTCACTGAGGAGCACTAAGGAAAAATTGGCTCATAAACAGCATCCTGTCCTAAAAATATGGTATTTTTCCCTTGTTAAATGTCATGGTGGCCTAGAGAGAACGGCGATGGAGGGTACAGTTTCTGAAAAATGAGGCAGAGACAGACCTCCACGAAGATGGGTACAAGACATTGAAGATGCATTGGAAATGAAAGCACACAGGGCTGGGAAATTGATTAGAGATAGAGGGACTTTCAGGCGTGCTGTGACGAGAGTGACGTTCTGGAAATGACCTGCTGATTGATGATGATGATGAATGAGTATAAATAAAGCAGGCAGAAGAAATTAAATCATAGTTATATCGCATTCTTTGTTTTTCTCCAGCTTTTTTATCTTCCAATGAAGCATAGTTACTCAACCAACCAATTATGGCCAAGTCATCCCTGTTTTTTGACTTAGTCAGCATTGGCTTTTGTGTGTCTGTTTGGCTGTAGTGTTTCATGGGATGAGGTAGGCAACCTCAAGCCAAATCCTACCTATAGTCGCCTCATGACATGGCCTGTTGCGGTGCAGTGTTATTATTTTTTTTTACTTCTCCTAAGAGCCCCAGTAATGGAAGGGTGTGTCTTCCTTTGTCAGCTGGTTGTTTTAACTGTTAGTGCAGGAGACACAGGTTGTTGCAAGAATGAAGACATAGTTGAACTGTAGTAAAGCTGTGAATTTCTTAAAACTACAAGAACAAAAAAACCCAGTAAGTTTTGGTCAGCTTTTCTCTGTGTGGGTTCTGGGGCCCCATTGGGAAGTTTGGGGGGGGGGGGAGGAGAAGAGAATAGACTCCTCCCTCCTACCCATATCCTTTACAATCTTGTCATAAAAGTCAACAAATTAGTTGTGTTTCCTTCAAAATCAGAGTGCACCAACAGTCTGCACACAAATAAGCCGGATCTGTAATATGAGCATGCAAAACTCAAGCTGTGGACCAAGGAGTGGATGAATAACCGGAACCTTTCACTGGAGTTATCAGCCCATGAATGGGAAGCAGAAGAAGAGGAGACCAGCTTCACGAAAAAATAAACAAAGGCTGTTGTGGTGACAGCATTTTGTTGTTTTTGTTTCTGAACATTTTTTTAACTGATGAAGACTTATTACCACAACATTTGTTTATATTGTGTATAGCTGACGTTGCTTTTTTTCCAGTTTTTGCAAGAATATAAAATGCATTGCTTTTTTTCCAGTTTTTGCAAGAATATAAAATGTTTAGCATTTTAGGTAGGTTATCATTCAGTGAAGTTCAGTTTTATAAAGCATCATTGCACTCATACATACTCTGATCATATATATAATATATATATTCTTTCAGGGGTCACTCTGATAATCAGTCCATACTCTGATTCTGTTAAACACTAGCCCACACAGTGAACTAAACACTGCCTGAACTAAGCACATTCATTTAATTGATGATTCTCATCTCAGCCCAAATCATTTTTGCGTTTCTATCAGCTTGATCCAGTTGGTCAACTCTTTGTCCATTTAAAAAAAATGTCTTTCTTTTTCTTCTTTTTCACTTCCTTTGTCACTGTGGAGAGAGCTATATGGTTCTACTTCTTGCTGTTCTGGCTGCCTCGACCATAGGCACATCGTGCTGTTGTAGAGTTTCTCTGATGTAATGTTTCCATCCTGGTCTACCTCATGCTGTCCGTCACCATCCCCTTTTGATATATAACTTAGTCGCAAGTCATTCTTTTTAAACGAGGCAAACCATTTATTTTCTGTCTTTGTATGTAATCTCGTATTGATTCTGTGCCAATTTTTTTTTAACCTTGCGTCTTCATTCCTGATTTTATATCTTCTGGTCACTCCAGCAACATTTCACAGACATCTTATTTCACTCCTTACAAAATATATTTGTCTTTAATAATGTCAAGGTCAATCTCTCTGTGACTAGTTGGTTAAGCCATTTGCTCTGGTGGTTGTGGAAGTAAAGGCCGCCGACATGATGTTTACCACATCATCCTTCTAGTGCTTATTGGTCTACAAAAATCTGAGTCTAGCATCATTTGTCCTTTGCATTACTGATGTAAAATAGGTCTTTTGTTTTACTTTATTTACTTATGGTTGTCGGTTTAGTTTCAAAGTCTGCCGGTTGGTTCACGTGTGCATATATATCAAAGATACCTTCGATTTGTCACTGGAGCTTTGAAGTTCATGTTTTGTATGACATCCACATTAAGCAGACAGCCACTTTATGGAGTGAGACAGATCTATATTGGATGAAATGTAGCAAAGTCATCCTGTCAGGGTTAATATTTTGTCCATGGCATGCACGTGGGTTGGAAAATGAACAGGCTGACAGCTTGTTTGATTCTGCGCCACTTGGTAGTAAACTGATGCATGACAGATATGTTATAAAGGCCCTTTAGACGCCAGTGAACAGTGCAGAGGCATAATAGATTATCATGGACCTGATAAAAATGGTATAACAGGGAGTGGTCAGGGAATCTGGCAAACATTCATTCAACTTTCAGGGGAAAGGCAAAATGAATGTACAGTCAGACGGCTACTGCTACCATCAGCATTGGAATTCTTTCCAAGCTGCTGATTGTAGGGACACTGGTACTTATGGGATTATCCAGAGTACTGTAATGTCAATTCTCAACTCCTATTAGCTCAGCTCAACTCCTGTCTGACAGTTATTACACCTGTTTTTTCATGTCATAGTGCAGTTTTTGACTAATAATCAATTTGCTTGTTTTAGATGAGCGATGGTTACCAAAATATTTATGAGATGCCACTTCCCATCAAGTCTGAGGACGGGTGTCTCTATGATTTGAGAATCCCAGTCCCACTACCACCCCCACCAGAGAAACTGGATATGTATTTGGTAAGCATAGTTTAATAGCGACATCTCAAAGTCCACACCATCAGCCTTGGTAGTAATTTCTAGCCACAGCCTTCTGTCTCATGTACTTTCAGTTATTTCTGACACAGGTGATCTTATACGTTATGATATCAGATTTCTGTCTCGGTCTCCATCTGTTTCTTTTTCTCTCCAACTTTCCCACCATCACAGTTTACTCTGGTTTTCTCCTTCCATAGTGTGACCAAAGAACATAGACCTTCTGATGTGGGTAATGAGATCGCTCCATGGGTTAATTTTGAATGGTAACTAACACAGAATATAAACATTCATGTGGTCAAATGCTAAACTCAGTCAGTACTAGTAGATGTTTACAGCATTAGGGAAAATAACCTCTTTTATGTATTCCTATCTTTCTCTAATTACCTCATTAAGTTGTTGGGAGAAGACATAAGTATCTTCAGTGTGTGCTTTGCATTGGGTTGCTTAAGCAGATCTTAATTCTTTTGAGACTGTTCTGGATGCTGCCATTCCGTCTTTTGCGTCGTTCCCCTTTCCCTGTGTTTATTGCATTTCTTCAGCATGGCTGTCTGTAGCAGTTGGTACCACCGCATTCTTGTCAGGTGACCAAACCATCTCACCAGGGTGACTGTATAACTTGACCTGACATTGGTATTTAGGCTGAGTTATGGGTCAGCCTGGAAGCCCAAATCAGTTATTAAAAAATGCTCCCCGATTGGGTGATCATTTCCTTTGACCAGATTGCTTGCTAGCTGCTTAGTGTTATGAGGAGAACTAAACTGGAAAATTGTATGAGGTAAGATAAACGTATCGGAAAAAACCAAGAGGAATACTAATGTGAAAAGTAACTGGACAGCTTGGCCACATGACATAGTTAGAATAATACAGATCTTTACCTAACTCCTTCTGTCAAAAACAGTGCACTGTGTGTGACTGGCTATTATTATTCACGTGCACCAGTCAACCTATTGTGTATGTTTATACATATTATATTGAGAGTGAGTGACTCTGAAGCAACCTATTTGCTTCCTGCACGGGTTGTATGTTTGGTCTTTCTGGAGGTAACATGCCCATGAGTTTAGTATGGCCATTCGTATCTCCCTCAAATATTAGCTATGACCATTCTTTGAGCATGATCCGGTGGGTCGAGGCAGGCTGGTTACGCAGACAGTGGCTTGAGTCATTGCAAAATTCTCCTGTCTGTGCAGTTACTTTCAAATTCATCCCAGGGCATGCAGGCATTGTTGGTAATGAGAGAGCTGATAGACTGGCAGGTGCTGCATTTATTGAAGATGGCCAGCCCATTGATCACGCAGACATTGTCATTGCCCTTAGAGAGGTAGTAAGTTCTGAGGTGCAACATATTCACATCACTGCTAAGAATACGAGAATTGGGAGTAAAGACCGGCACAGCCAAGCATGAGAAGCACACCAGACGTACTCAAAGTTTGGTAACCAACGTAGAACTGGTACTGTTAACCCCACCAAGCTGATGAATATGTTAAGAGGGAAATTTGAATGCATATGGATGTGTCCGGAGTGCTGTGAAGATAATCTAACTCAACTCATTAGCTGTGACCTGGTGGAGAAAGCTAGGAGACAATAATTTCAAGACAGTATGTCAATTTCTTCTCTGTTTTAAACAGGACTCCAGATCAGCACCTCCTTCAGAGCAGTTATTGCTGAATCACATGGCCCGGTGGAAGGAAGTTAGGAACAGGTTAGTTTCCATCATATTCGTGCATTTCTACAAAGGCTGTAAATGTGATTGCATTGAAAGTTATGTTTATATCAGTGCATTGTTAGATGTTCGGTTTTCAGTTAAATTGCACTGAAAATCAATGTATATAATATCACTGAATTATTAGCCTTTTTATGTTATGTTAAAATCTTTAAGGGTAAGGAAATTTGATCTGAAATTGAATCTTTAATATTTAATAAATAAGCCTCCAAATTGCTTAAAGCCACATTCATGGTTTTGCAGAATTGAACAAAGTAAGTGAAATATTTTTCATCTTCACATCCACCAACCAGGAACTTTGGCAGAGAGTCCTGTTTGTTCCCCTACTTCTGGATTTTAATCTTGCTCCAGTACTTGAGTGTTGACAGATGTGTATCCTTCCGTTTTAAAAATCTGGCTCATTTGCAAGCAGACTGTTGGTTTCTTGGCTCTCAGGCAGATGCCCTCAGACTTAGAAGGAAATGTCAGTTCTGTCTTCATTGACCCGGCTTCTAGTTTTGCAGAATTGACCAAAGAAGTCTGAAATCTTCTTCTTCACATCCACCGACCACGAACTTTGGCAAAAAGTCCTGGTTGTTCCTTCATTTCTGGATTTTAATCTTGCTACATGACTTCAGTTTTGACACTTATGTTAACATCCATTTTAAAGATCTGGCTTTTTTGAGTTTCTTGGCTCTCAGGCAGATGCAGTCAGCCTTAGAAGGAAATTTCAGTTCTGTCTACATTGGCCTGGCTTCTAGTTGGGAACCTGTTTCTAGGATGACAGCAAAAAGGTGTTGATAGGTCTTGATGAGTGTAAGTCCTGGTGCACCAGCCAGCACTGCATCCCAATCTGAAACCAAAACCTCACCTTTCAGAGTACAAGGCAGTCGGTTTGACCACCTTTCAGCAGGCTGCTGGAACATACTAGAAGTTGAAGGTAAAGCTCTAGAACTAAGCATTGACATTGCAGCACTTGGGGCATTGCCATTTGTGCTCTATTCTCATTTTCAGCAGCTACCAGAGAGTTCCAGTTCCTATGGTGTCAGTAGCAGTGTGATTATATGGCTGTCTTGCCTTTCCTCTGGGTGTAGAGCAGTAATGCTTAACCTTCCTAATGTCATGACCCTTTTAAAATACTTCCTTATGTTGTGACACAACCATACAAATCTATGGTCTTAGGTGACCCCCAAAAGGGTCATGACCCATCGGTTGAGAAGCACTGGTCTAGAGTGTCGACCAGATCCCTTGGTCACTTGAAACTGTCCTATTCTTTCCAGATCATAATTATCAGTCCGTGCCTCTGCATTGTTCACTTGCTGTCAAAGGACTTTGACCGCATCTTGCTTGTCATACATCAGTTCACCAGCCAGTCTGCATGAAGTTGAAGAGTATCGACTTCATTGCATCAGATGTTATCCCAGTCCCAGCTGGCTTAGTCTCTCTCTGCAGAACGATTAGCCCCCTGCTAGAGCATCACATAGAGCACAGAATACGTAGCTTCAGTGACAGTTCACGGGATTATCTATAAAAACAGGACTGGTGAACTGAAGGACGCATCCATGAGGCGAATGGTTGACTACTTTCCCACCAGTAACCAAGTAATCTCAGTTCCAATTTCATAGCAAATAGGAGTTCTTCTTTCTTGTGCCAGTGAGAACCACACAGAATGTCTGTCACTTTCTCCTGAGACAGCAGTCTCAGCAAAGCCTGTAGCACACACATGCATTAAATGCATAAGGTAGCAGTTAGAAGTGCCAAAAGACAGCCCAGCACTAGAAATGCATCATTGTCAATAGAAGCAGTAGCTACAACAGATCAATAGTTGCTTACGCAATTAATTGCATAAGGCACCACTTGTTCTTCCAAGATAGGCTACTAACTATTTTCTGAATCAACAGCTCTCAACGCACACCATTTTGGACGTAATCAAAAATCATTCAAGATTAAAAGCACAGCTCACAGTGTCATGCCACGTACTCGGCTCATCTGTCTTGCCTTTCCCCTGGTGTATAGCTGGCAAAACCCTCTAGTACACCCTGTGCCCATTCTCTCCGGCCATATAAACTTCTTTCTCTACTGATTCGTTGCTTGTTCCCCAAAGGGGCCCTTTACCCCTGGGCCTGTCATGTAACAAATTTACCACCCAGTGGGGCGGATCCTGCCCAAATGTCTGCCCGTTCTTTCCCCCATGCCGCATAGCCGGGAAAAGATCGAAATATGCTCACCCCCTGTGGCCTTTCCTGAACAGCACCTTCTCGAGTACCCCTGTCCCCCCCCTTTTTTAGAATGCTTTTTAAATCGGGTTAAAATTTCACATGTTTTTGCTTTTGTTCTCTAGCCACAGGAAGGGGGCCCTTACAGCCCCACACCCTTCTCGCTAGATTTGTGGGGTCAATGCTGTGTCTTTTACTAAAGATTTCCATTGGTTACCTACAAAAACCCAGGCACTTCTCTTTCCCCTCAACACTGAAACCTCTGTTAATAAACAATCCCTTTTTTTGTGA